GGGGGGGGGGGGAGCGGAGGGTGTGCGCCGTGTGTGTGTTTACAGCTCCTCCTGTACAAAATATCGACATACCTTTCACTTCATGTTACTTCGTGACCACTTTCACAAAGGTCTTCAAACACAGGAAACAGCAGGTTTCCTTGGACGGATATACTGTAATTCATTTAACAACTCTCCTCTTGCTAATAATAAATTGTTTCTAACTTCTTAATCACGCAACAATAAACATGTTTGCACATAAAATATCTGTTGGCATGTCTGATTATTTTCTGAGAATAAATTCCTAGAACTGAAGTGGGCAGCTTAGTATTTCCTGGCTCTTCCGACCCTGCTCCTCTCACAGTGGATGAGAATGGCCTGGGACTACCTCCGAGAACAAACAGAGCAAATGACGAACTCTCATACTTACTGTCTTCAAGTAAATCTGTTATATTTAATTCCAGAGAAGGAAAGATTTTCTTAAATAGTTTAAAGTCTTTTCCAAACCGAGGCATCTGAATAATCAGACAGGATGGTGCCTAAAAAAAAGATGTACTTTAATCAAAGTGCTGAACAAGACTTTTCCCAGTGAGACTGAAACAGTCATGGCTGGCTCAGGGAGCAGTGGTTTCAGCATCACATCGATGGCCTGTAATGCAGAATCTGTGTGAAAGTGGAACGTGAAGGCTGAGTTCAAGTTCCCATGGACACACAACAACATGCAGCGCTCAGGCAGGTGAGCAACCTCGGGTCTCAAAGACCACGGTGACTATCAAGAGTGACACTCTGCTTTGGGTTTGTATTTAACAAAGGTTTGGAAAAATTGTTTTTGCAAGTATAATAAACTGTCATCACTAAAGAACACTATTGCTTGTATTTCAACAAATAAATAACTGTAGCTGTTAAGGTTTTACCAGAATATTCATTTAGATATGAATACAATAAAAGTAAGCTACAAGCATATACTAACTACTAAGATCATGAAGACACTTAATAAGCAGACACTTAATAAAAACTAACATCCCATGTTCATTAACAATAGCAATAAAAGTCAATTTATTTTGTCTCTTACTTATTGTAAACATTCCTTTTTGGATATTTGGATAATATGCGAGGGTAAAATTTTAAATTGGGTAAAATAACATTTAAAAAACACACATAAATCTTCTTTGCTTTAAACTACTTAAAAGTTTTCAAATTACAAATTAGCTTGATATTTCCTTTGGCACAAAAATCCAAAAAGTTCAGTCTTAATTCTCTAAGGCATTTTCTACAGGGACAAAATTGAAACACTGCACTTTTTTGAAAAATTGGTGTTTTGTTAACAGTTTGTGTTTCTAACTGTTCTCAGTGGGTTAAAGGTAACAGTTATTGAATCTACTAGTAGTCGACACTCTTAAGAACTTTCACATAAAACACAAGTAATGATCACTAACCTCTGCAAACTTCAGGTTACTGTTGATAAAAGACCATTCTAACAACTGCTGAATTGTAGGAACTCCAACTTTCTCATTTTTTTCCATAAAAATTTGATAGAAGTAACAATCTTGTACTTTTTGACCTGCTGACCTAAAAAAACATGCAGAAAAACCCCCACATTATTTATGAAACTCTTAGATCAAAACGTGAAGTTGCACCAACAGTGTTTGAGAACAGAAAACTACACAATTGATGAAGCAACTTCAGACACTCAGACCAATGGGGCAAAGACAATAATTTAGATAAAATAATTAAATGTCTTCTGCATAAGACCTTAAACATGATTTCTTGTCCTAGTTTTCATCAGGGATCAGGAGAAAAATAATGGAGTAACATCACAATCAAGAAGCACTGTGTTGTAACCAGAAGCTAAAATCACTTAGTTCAACTTGACACCTTGCTGACCGGTCATGAGTTAACTTAATTACTTAAATTAATGTAAGTGCAGATATGAGGTTAAGTAATTTTAAACACCTTGCTGACTGGTCACGAGTATTCAAGTATGGAAAAGTAGCCTGCTGCATGGGCAAGTTCTGGCTCGAAATAGCTGGTCAGCAAGGTGTTTAATTAACAATACCAATATAAGTGAATTTATTTTGTGCGTTGATTTATTTTATAAACATTCTTTTTTGAATATTTGGATAATATGCTTGGGTAAAATTTTAAACTGGGTAAAACTGGTATTGTCCAAACCTGGAAAGCAGCAAACTGCATTTAATGTTGAAACAGGAAAATAAATTCCTACATGCCTAAATGGGACAGACCCTTAGAGGCTTCTACACCAAACCTGTCATTTCTGAAATGAAGGGCCTGAGATCTAGGGCAGGACAGGCACTTCCCTGCAAGTCCCTATTCTTTCTGATGCCACCTCCTAAAATTATAATTAGAATCTATCTTCCTTCCCTCTTATCTGTTCTGTCTTGTTTTCTAACTCCTTACCCCTTTGAGCTACATTCTGGGTAATTTTTTCAGATCTACCTTCCAAATGGGAAATTCTCTCTTTAGCTTTGCCTGCTGCCTCCAGTGAGGTACCCTTCTCAGCCATACAATATATATATGTAAATATATATAATTTTTACTCTATTTCTGGGAATTCTGTTTTTGTTTGACTTTGTTGTCAAATATGCATTTATCCTTGGGCATCTAAGCCCTTGTTTTGCCTCCTCCATCATTTAAGAGCATTCTGGGGCTGTTCCAGACATTAAGGTACTTGTCCTGTTTATTGCGGCAGCTGACTCTCTCTGCAGAAAGAAAGGACACATGGGAGAAAGGGGGCTAACTTTCAAAGTACCTTTCCATATCTTTTTATAATCTTTAAACCAGGGATTCTCAACATGAGGAGGCTGCTGAAGGGGGAAGGAGGCAGTGCACCTCAGCTCCACAGGCCCTGAGAGCTGAGATAGGCTCCTGTGTGTGACCCCTCCCCGATGCCCTGAGAGCCCTGCAGGGCACATCTTGTGTTATTACTGGGAGTATAATATCTCTAAGGTGTGTTGGGCTAGGACAAAGAAGGTGACAACTATTTTAATCATCTGGAATTTATTTCAAGATGAAAAACAGAAGTGACTTCTTCCTCCCAAATTCCCTGCTAGATTTCCTACATCATGGGTTAAATATACCTTTCTTTCCTCGTTTGTGTTTGAAGGCCGAAATGCTACATGTAGTTCATTCTATTTCTGAGCTTTCTGTCCAGATCTATTGATCAGAATTTTTAATCTTATACCAGTATCACAGTTTTAATATCTTTTGCTTTACTTTCACAGATTATAGAATCCTTTTTTTAAAATTCAATGCTTTCACCTATTTCATCTTGTAGCAAACTCTAAAATCACCTGAGTTTTTTTTTAAATTAAGGTCTTGCTTATGTGTAAATTATTTTATAAAAACCTAGTATCTTTAAGTTATTCAATCTTTCTACTTAGAACACAAACTCTCTCATTAACTAATCAAGTCAGCTTTCACTTCTGTGCAAGTCTTTTAAAAAACCTATCTCAATGAAATTGATTTCTTGGCAATTTATACTTTCATAAAATATGAAATTATCCCCTTTTCATACTTGCTGGAGGGTACACAGAAATTCTATTGATTTTTCCATGGTTTCCCTACATGGTCAAATTATAAATTCTTTATTAATACTAGTCGTTTCCAAACAACTCTCTAGAATTTTCTAGGTGCACATACAGCCATTACCATCTCTGATCAGATAATAAATATGTACTCTTGACGCTCATGTATCCTGCCTTATTCCATTAGTGAGAACACCCAAAACAGTTTCGAAATATAGTTGTTGGTACTGCGCCCCTCTTTCTCCATATCTATCAGTTCAACACTGGCAGCAAGCACATCACTTAAGGCAGAAATGAGTAAGATTCTTGTCTGTGATTAGATTTTAGGGAAATAAATAGCATATTAGCAAGATTTTCAACAGAGAGACGACTAAAACATAGAAAGGTTCAGCATTCAAACTACCTGAAAAAGTTCACTACTTCGAGGCTTCAGGAGGAACCTTCCTGTGTGAGTTCAAGGCTTCCCCTCTGACAGAGGAAAGGCTACGTGACAGAGCTGGGAACAGGAGCTAATTCCAGGCAAATTAACTTGTGAGTGGCGGTGTCAGTGTTTCACTGTGTTCGATCAGGGTGGGATAAGATTCTCTCAAAAAGGTTTCATGAACCTACAGTACAAAGTACCTATAAAGTTTTACAAGAAGATGATTTGCAATGACATTTATTGCTAGGGTGACAATTAAAAGCACAGATGTACATGGGCTTCATCCCTCAGGTCAAGTGTAACAGTGTGAAGACAATGTAAGATTAATATGCAGTACAGGCTATGAAGATCCCTAAACAAATACATGAAGTGGTCACAAGGAGTTGTGTCTGTTGGATGGTAGCAGTGGAAATGAGAACTGTCTGTTTCCAGCACTTCTACAAAAAGTTAAAAGTTACCTTATTTTTAACAATGGTTCTACCCTTAAAATATGATGAAACAAGATATTCAAGAATTCTTCAGGATCTAGGAGAAAATTAAAAAAATCAAATAAGTCACTGACAACACTTTAAAATCATTCTATTTTTTACAGCAGTCATAATCCTATACCCAATTCAATTTCACAATCAATCTTATTTCAATTAAAAGCACAGTTCTCAAGTTTTTCTAACTAAAATTACAAAGGATATGATGAAGTATTAAGTTCTAATTTTGTTGTAACTTTATTGCATTTGAAAAAGTATAATAATTCACATATAGTGAAATAATTCTAATTTCTTTTGATGGGTTTAAGATAAGTTAAATGAAACTGAAGTACGACCTTGCATTTTCCTGACATTTAAATACTTATTGAGTCCCTGAACAGTACAGCTAGTTCAATATGCTGTCAACACATTCAAAGTGGGGAGCTGAATCTCTGAGTACAGCCATCAGCTATGAACAGACGGAACCCCTGACTCTGACCGTAACCGCGTCCCTCTGTGATGAGGACGAGGTGGGACAATGTGGCTGAGCCAGTGCAACCCTGCCCACGGAGAGAGCCCAGGTGGGAAGGAAACGCCCATGTATCCCTTTAACCCGTACAACCAGCCAGCTTCTCAGGTCCACTATTCCACGTCACTACTGCCTTTTAGGAGAGAAACGGCATATTTAAAAAGGGAGGAAGCTGTGCATCACGTAGAAGCTCCTATCGTGAAATAAGCTCCCACAACAACACAGGCCCGTATCTGGCCAAGCCAATCGTGCAGCACGTGCTCCCAAGCTCTTTAGTGCATCTCCTGCGAGGTAACACAGTCACCTTTCTCCTCAGAGGTAAATCCTGATGCAGCCTCAACTTTTTCAAGTATTTTCCTCAGTTTCATAATCTTTGTTGCACACACATATCCATATCTGTTAGTAAAAAATATGAATTAATACATATACATTAAATCAATATATTTTGATAATCACACATATCTGATATAACTGTACCATGTCATAAATCAATAGGCTAGACAACTATTTTGAAAAATACAATTATAGGCTTCTTCGTTTTTCCTTTTATTGAATTTATTAGAGTGAGGTTTGAAAAATTAGGAATCTAGAATCAGCACAGCTGGTGTGGCTCACTGGTTGAACATCAACCCATGAACCAGGAGGTCACCAGTTAGATTCCTGGTCAGGGCCCACGCCGGGGTGGCCCGCCCAATCCCCAGAGGGGGCGTGCAGGAGGCAGCTGATCGATGATTCTCTCTCATCAGTGATGCTTCTCTCTCCCTCTCCCTTTCTCTCTCTGAAATCACTAAAAACATATTTCAAAAAAACAAAAGAATCTAGAATCAGAATTATCCCAGACACTATTATACCCTAAAAATAACTACCCCATACTAATAAAAGAAAAAATAGTTTAATTTATGATGACTGGATTTTTACTACTACTTGCTTAAGAAATTGAAGCGTACTTTATAGAAGAGAACAAACAATTCTGAGAGAGTTCTTTCAGTGCTAAAGGATGAAACAGCCACCAGGGTCACCGATAAGAAACTGAAATCTAAAATCTGCAATCAAGCCATCATCATAATTGTGACTTTCTCTCATCTTTGTCGGAATATAGGATACCTTCAATATGTTCAAGGTCAATCTGTGACAAATTCTTATTCTAACAATGGCATCAGAAGAGAAGCCAGAGGCTGCTGTGGGCTTATGAAGGGCCAGTCAGATCTGGCTAATGGCTGATCTTCTTTTCTTAATCTTCACCGAAGAATATTTTTTTCATTGCTTTTCAGAGAGAGTGGAAGGGAGAGAGAGACACCAAAGGGAGAGACACATCAACTGGTTGCCTCCCGCACACGCCCAGACTGGGGTAGGGGATCGAGCCTGCAACTGACGTGCCCTTAACCGGAATCAAACTTGAGACCCTTCGGTCCTGGGGCTGAAACACTAACCACTGTCTGGCTAATCCTATAGCCACTTTTTATATCGACTATTCATTCCCTCCTTAACTCTGCAGCCAACATATATTGAACACCTAGTGCTTACATAGTAGTCTGACCTTTTAGCTGCTGGGAATGCAAAAATGAGGAAGGTGAGAAAAAAGGGTCTGTGCCTTTGAGGAGCTTGAAATGCAGAAAGCAGGGCTTTCAGTACCAAATAAAACCAGTCAGCTTTGACACAGCTATGAGGCTGCAGACACAGGGAACCCTGAGGGCCGGCAAACAGGGTGACACAGCCCAGGTAACCGTGACTCTTAACTGGTTGGACAACAGTATCCTAAGAATGCCTGGTAATGGGCTACGGTGTTTGGCGGAAGGAAGGGAGTGGAGCATGCCTTAGAGTTTGGGACTTCTTCTGTCTTGTCTCGTATCAATCACTGAGAGGGTGGGGGGAATACAGTACGTTTAAAAATTTGCATAACACAAATAATACAAAATAATTGATGGAAAAATCAAGCCTCATTATCTTCAGGAGTAAAAACTACACATTTTCATCACTACAGAATTTAGGAAATCAAAAGATATCTGTAGGAAATCTATTCACTTATAATTTCCTTTCCTAGCATGTTGTACAGTACGTCATTCTGAATGCTCATTATATTTCAGGATTTTTTTATTATATTTCTGAATTTTTAGGTCAAAATCTTATTTCAAGCTATTTTTATTTTAATTGTTAAATAAGAAAAGTATGGCACAAAATATAATTTTATTTAGTATGGACTTTAAATTATATAGTGTGCTCCCTATATTCCTGAATGGACAGGTTGGTTTTATACTCTATGGCCCTAACTCCTCATAGTTTAAGGTTTACAATGAGACATGATCACATATTTCTATTGCTATGTATCAAAGTCCTTATGAGATGTCTCGTCGCTTATATTTGTAACCATTACAATTGCTTCCTGTGGCCAAAGAAAGACATATCTATAGTTCTTAAACTAGGAAAGGACCAAAAACATAATCTTTTTAAGGGAGGTGGAGGTCTAAATATATTCCTTTAACCAAGAAATGTGTTGATAAGATACACATCATTTGTTTCTAATACAAAAGAATAAAGAGTAGCTACTCTACAAATAAAAATTTTCCCTTGCTCCTTTTTTCTCAAATAAAATTAAGTTTAAGAAGCCAGAGTGTATCGATTAGACTAATAGGCATGATGACTGTCAGAGTGTTAGAATGAACTCTTTCAGAAGATAGGAATCCCACTGTATCTGCTTTTTCTACAGCTCCTACAATTGCTAAATTGTAGCAAACTCCACCAAATGGTTTCATCACTTCATGGCACACACTACATGCTATACCTTGGCCAGATTTAAGAAAGTAAATGAGTAAACGCAGTACAAGGACCAAAGGTTAAAAAAATTATTAAAGCTACATCAAGGCAATGAGTTTCCACCCATTTCTTAATAAATAAAAACCAGGCATAAATTAATTATTCTACAAAGAAACAGCAACTAGGACACCAGGTATAAGCAAAAATAATTCTGCAGGGAGATTAAAGATGGTGGCAGATTGAGTGGAAGCTACACTGACACTCTTCCAGGACCAAACTGGAATTACAACTAAAATTGAGAAAAACCATCCTGAATAATCAACTGCAACTGCAGATGAGCTGGGGAGCATCCTCATAACCAAGGGGGAAAAGTGGAGACCACTAGAGACTGGTAGGAGGTACAGAGGCACAAGAGGGCTGGCTGAGCTCCCACAGGCAGCAGCTGAAAGTCCAGAGAAATAGTGCAGCTGTGGAGGGGTCCCACTGAGGACTCTGGGGCCTACAGCTCAGGTTGGGCTCCCCAGCCCAGAGCATCAGAATTGAAAAACCTGTCCACATAACACCTGGCTGTGAAAAGCAGCTGGGTTTCTGTCTGCCAGGGAGATATGGCTGGAAATGCAGGCACCCTCTTAAAGAGTGAACGCACAGAGTTTCCTGTCCACTCACCTTGGGCTCCGGCAGAGGGAGGGTAGAATGGACTGCAGCTGTGTGAGGAGAATCTAGGGTTGTGGCCTCTGGAGATAGAGCTCAGAGGGCACCCCTCTGGATTCCTTTGCTGAGTCATTCCCCCATACTGCAGAGGCAGACATTTACCTTCCAAGCAGCTTTTGCCTGAGGGGGAAGCAATTGCCCCACCTTGCTGGAAAACCTCTCGCCCTAACCCGGGGAGTTTCTACAGCCTGAGACTCATTAAAAGAATCAGATGAATCAGCCTGCAGGCAGAGGCAGATCTCAGAGTGCTTTGAGTCTTTGCCTGATTTGCTTCTGGACCCAGGCCTTGGAAAAGCAGACTTTGCTGTGCCTCTTGGTCCTGTCCATACACACCCAGCCCCAACAGAGGGGACCTCACGCTGTGGGTTGTTTATAGCTCCAAAGAGGGTACTCAAGGCCAGTCACAAACAGCGTCTGACATTGGCCTGTACCAGAAATGGTCCAAAAAGACTGAGACTCCTAGCAGGCCTACCTAATACATAGAAACAAACCCAAATAGGGAGCCAAAATGGGGAAACAAAAAAACAAGCCCCAAATTAAAGAACAAGAGAGGTCTCCAGAAAAAGAGCCAAATGAAACAAAGATAAGCAATCTATCAGATACAGAGTTCAAAATACTGATTGTAAGGATGCTCAACAGCATGAAAAAGATATGGAAACTATGAAGGAAATTAAGAATGACAGCAGAAATAAAGAACACACCGGAAGGAATAAACAGCAGATTAGAGGAAGCTGAGGATCGGATCAGTGAATTAGAAGACAAGGTAGAAAAAAATCACTCAATCAGAGATCCAAAAAGAAAAAAACAATTAAAAAACAGGAGGGCAGTCTAAGGGAGCTGTGGGACAACATGAAACATAACAATATTCACATCATAGGAGTGCCAGAGAAGGTAGAAAGTAAGCAAGGGTTAGAGAATCTGTTTGAAGAAATAATGACACAAAACTTCCCTAACCTGGTCAAGGAAAAACTCACACAAGTTCAGGAGGCACAGAGAGTCCCAAGCAAGAAGAACCCAAAGAGGCCCACACCCAGATACATCATAATTAAAATGCCAAAAATTCAAGACAAAGAGCGAATCTTAAAGGCAGCAAGAGAAAAGCAATCTGTTACCTACAAAGGAGCTCCCATAAGGCTATCAGCTGATTTCTCATCAGAAACGCTATAGACCAGAAGAGAATGGCATGAAGTATTCAAGGTAATGAAAAGCAAGGAACTGAAATCAAGAGTACTCTATCCAACAAGGCTATCATTCAAGATAGATGGTGAAATAAAGAGCTTCCCAGACAAAAAAAAAAAAAAAAAAGGCNGCTAAAGGAGTTTATCACCACCAAACCAGCATTGCAGGAAATGTTAAAGGGACTGCTGTAATGAGAAGTAGAAATAGAAGTATTGCAAGAAATGTTAAAGAGACTGCTGTAATAACAGGAAGAAATAGAGAAACATAGGCATAAAGAATTAAAATGGCAAGAAAGAAGGATTTATCAATAATAACCTTAAGGACTTTGAGGGAGAGATCAACAGCAATACAGCATAGTCGGGGACTTTAACACCCCACTGACTTCACTGGATTAGATCTTCGAGACAAAAAAACAACACAGAAAGAGTGACTCTAAATGGCATACTAGATCAGATAGATTTAACTGATATTTACAGAACATTTCATCCCAAAGCTGCAGAATATACATTCCTCTCAAGTTGCACATGGGCCATTCTCATAGACAGACCACATGTTAGGACACAAAACAAGTCTCTACAAGTTCAAGAAGATTGAAATCATATCAAGCATCTCAGATCACAAGGGCATGAAATTAAAAATCAACTACAGTAAAAACACTCAAAAATAATCAAACATATGGAGGCTAAATAGCATGTTATTAAACAATGACGGGTTACCAATAAGATCAAGAAAGAAATAAAAAACTTCCTGGAAACAAATGAAAATGAACACACAACAACCCAAATCTATGGGACACAGTGAAGCAGTCCTGAGAGGGAAGTTCATAGCCCTGCTGGCCTACCTCAAAGAGCAAGAAAAATTTTTGGTAAACTATCTAACGCGACAACTAAAAGAATTAGAAAGCTCCCCTGTGAAGCCATCCAGACCAGCGCTTTTGTTTGCTGGGACTTTTTTTATTTCTGCTTTGATTTCATCACTTGTTATTGGCCCATTCAGGTTTTCTGATTCTTCCTGACTCAGTTTTACATGATCTCACTCATATGTGGAATCTAACGAACAAAACAGACTGAGGAACAAAATAGATCCAGAGACACAGAAGCATGGAACAGACTGAGGGAGCTCAGAGGGAAGGCGGGAGTGGGGGAGTGGGGAGAGGTTAATCAGAGAACTTCTATGCATATGTGCATAACCCATGGACAGTAATGTGGGGAAGGCCTGGGGCTTGGGGGGCGGATGCAGGGTGGAGGGGGGTCTATGGGGAAAAAAGGGGGACATCTGTAGTACTCTCAACAATAATGATGCATTTAACCAGCTAAGGAAGCGGCAGGGCTGCACTTACATCCTGAGCGGGTTCACGATCTCCGTGCGCAGGAGCTCCTGGGTTTCGCTGTAATACTCCACGTCGTCCTTCTCCTTGGGTCTAAGCAGCACCGTGTCCAGGACGGAGCTAAAGGCAAACAAGCTGCAAAACAGAGAGTATTTTCCTCATGCTATAAGCCTATTTTTTAATTTTTTCTTGAGAAATACATACTGAAAAGAATGCGAAGAGAAAAACCACAAAGTCTAGAGAACAAATAACAAGCAAATTCATGATACAGGATCCCAGGAGCCCTGGTAGGGTCCCACGGCTCCATCGTCGGGGCCTGGAGATCCTTCCAGGTTAAGAAGGCGACCAGTGTCCAGACGGCAGGCTGGAGTCCGGGCTGGGGGGCTCAGTGGTTAGTGCGTCAGTCTGAGGACTGAAGGGCCCCAGTTTCAATTATGACCAAGGTCACTACTCGCTTGGTCGAAGGCCCGACTGCGTGCGGGAGGCAACCAATCAGTGTGTCTCTCACATCAATGTTTCTCTCTCTCCCTTCCATTCTCTCTGAAAAGCAACGGGAAAAACATCCTCTTAAAAAAAAGAAGGCAAGCTAGAGACTGACTGTGTTAAAGGATTAAAATATGTTTTCACTATTTGGGGAAACATCTTTGAAAAAGCTGAAAGAGGGCAAAGAGACAACAGGGAGGAAGTCTGCAAACTGAGTCCCCGGGGTGAACACACAGCCAACACATAGTGCACACAAGGTACATGCTAGTCTCCCCCTGCGCCCAGGGCAGAGTCTAAATCAAATCTTTAAATGCCAAAATCTCTTGTGAGTGACAGCGGTAACTTCTGGTATCAAAGAAAAACATTTTGCTAAAAAAGATTTTGTATCAGGAAACCTAAAGAATATTGTATCAATTCTTGCTTTTGTCAACACATCTGAGACTGAAAGTATATTCTGCCCTCAAAACCATTTTTATTCTCTGCCCTCCCTCTAAGTTTCCAACACCCCACAACCATCCTTTCCCCTGCCCCGGCTGCAGGGAGCCAGCAGGTCACTCTCACCACGCCTGGTTGTGTGCTTGGTCCACTCTCCAGTGTAAAACTTCTTGCCACGTTAAGTTGGTCCACTTGGGAATAAATTACACATACAAGGAGACTACACTTCTCCTGAAAACAATTCTTTACGTAAAGTCATTCTACGATCCCCTCTACCTAGTGAAGCAAACACACCCTCCAGCCAGGGGCTTACGGCCACTCAGGCCATTTGATGTGCGCGCCAGACGCTGCTCTTCCCCTCGGCAGGCACGTGGCTTCCCACACACCCTAGGCCAGCGGCTGCACCTGGGATACGGTCACTCACCTCTTAGGCATCCTTCATCTCGTTACACCACAGGTTAGTTTTTTGGATACAGGCTCATGAGACAACAGTCAACAGCGTCCAAGGAGTGTGTAATGAAACGCAAGCCTCCCTTTTGCTTTCCTCAGAGGCAGTTAGCAATCTGTCTGTCTCTCTGTCTCTCACTCGCCCCCCACTCACTCACACACACCCCCCACGCCCCTGCCCCCAGAGCACGGTATTCCTCCCGAGCTGATGGTAAACTTACCAGAATAAGGTCGAGTCTAAGTAACAAGAATTATAATGCCCTTGGATGCCTTTCTTCTTTCCAATCATTATCTCCAAACCTTCCTTTTCCATTTTCGGTGGAGTATTTTCTTCCACTACTTCACTTAAGTAGCCTCCAAAGGCTAAAGAGATGAAAATGAAAACAGTAATTCTTTAACTATGGCAATAGGCATTCCTGTATATGCCTACACTTAAAATAGGTTTTTTTTGCATTTTGATGCAAAATTTGTTTCTCAACTGAAAGCTGAGTTAAGGGCTGGTTTGGGTTCACCGCTACTCAGCCGGGCTTGTAAAACACTGCTGCGCACCTTCAGCCTCGCGTCCTTCACAGTCAGAGACCACTTCAGAACACTAAGTAATTAATGCAAAGAAACACCTGCCAATGATATGTTTTGTTCCCCAAATATTTTACTATCTGTCTAAAGATGTTTCATTTAAAGTTGGAGAAGAAAACAAAAATTCTGAAGTACAATTTCAGCTGTAATGAGAGCTGTTTTTCATAAGGATGGTTTTCCTATTTACGTCTGTTGAGCCCTTGAAATGCTTTACCACCACCACCCAGAAGGAGGGGGCAGCACCAGGAACCGCTGCCTTACAGGCAATGAGCTCCATCCTCATCAAGCAATCGAAACTACTTCTTTTTTCATATGTCTTTATTGACTTCAGAGAGAGGAAGGGAGAGGGAGAGAGAAACATCAATGATGAGAGTCATTGATCAGCTGCCTCCTGCACGCCCCCACCGTGGATCGAGCCCACAACCCGGGCATGTGCCCTGACCGGGAATCAAACCACGATCTCCTGGATCCTAGGTCGACGCTCAACCACTGAGCCACAACGGCCTGGCCTAAACTACTACTTATACTAGTGCTGCCTTCCTATAAATACAGGTTTTTTTGGGTTTTTTTTGGTTTTTTTATTGATTTCAGAGAGAGGAAGGGAGAGGGAGATAGAAACATCAATGATGAGAGAGAGTCACTGATTGGCTGCCTTCTGCAGGCCCCTACTGGGGATCGAGCCTACAACACGAGCATGTGTCCTGACTGGGAATCTAGCCCTGACCTCCTAGTTCATAGGTCGACGCTCAACCACTGAGCCACGCTGGCCACCTACCTGCCTCCTGAGCTGTTGAAAATTAAGTGTTTGTGATTCCCAGGAAAAGAAAAGTAAATCCATCTATTTTTCATTTTTTAAATCTCAAACATGTTTTCCTGAGTAATTTTTTTTAATGTCCCGTTAGGATAACTGTAACTTTCTTACACACCAGGTAACAACTTGACTAATGAATGCTGACGATACACGCATCTACACAGCCATCACTGCCTACTGCCACGTGGCCCGAGATCAGACCTAGAGTCGCTCCAGATGGGCAAGAAGTGGGAGGCAGGCACGTACCTAGGGAGTTGCAGCGCTCAATCTGATTGGAGACCGGCTGCAGGGATGCGAACCTCGAGTCGGGCCTGCAGCTCTTCAGCTTGACAAAGAGCGCCTTCTTCAGGGCACAGGTGAAGTACCGGGTGCCCCGGAAGGTCCCGTCCGTGCAGCCCGCACATTCGTCTTCCTGGTGAAGAGAAGCACCCACTGCATCACTTGGGTTCTTGCAAAGACGGTGTTCAAAGGACTAAGGCGTATTTTGAGTTTACCCTTTCTCTGAATTCTGCACCACACCTGTACTAAGAAACTCCATCTAAAAGGGGCTGACTAATCAGCCAATGATTTAAGAAATTAACTCCTCAATCCAGCATGAAGTCCTTTCTGGATTCCCTTCCAAAGACATGCTTGAACCTGCTCTGGATAACTGACTCTCTTGCATCTTTTCCAAAGTATTAAAACTTGGGGGCAGGGAGAAGAGGCTATTCATTTTATCCTGAAAAAACCAGCATTCACTAGCATACAAATAAAACGAGAAACATATTTAAATAAAAGCTAAATGTACTCAAATTCCCCTCTCCTGATTATGTAATATCAAACAATATACTTTCTTAATCTCCAAAGGGAAAATCTCTCCCTCTAGCAAAGATCCGAAGCATTTCTTAAAATGGTGATTAGTCTTAAAGCCAATGATATAAATATTAGACCTGACTGGGAGGTGGGAGGCTGAGAGAGACAGAGAAGCTGATGAAGGCCTTGCTTCCCTTACTGTATTCTGTTTAACACAATGAGCCTAAACATATGAACCTAAAGCTCTATTATCCTTTGGACGATGACTTGCTATCACTTAGGACAAGTGACCAGGTGCTCAAGGGGTGGCAGAGGAGGTCAGGCGACATGGTAATGAAACTGCTCGAGTGATGGCTCTTCTGACAACAAACATTTCACCAAAAGCATATAATAGGGGAAAATCTACAAAATCCTAGATAGCAGAGAAGTGCAATTTTTAGGAGGAATGAAGTTACCAGTTCCAGCCCAGCGAGAACTTCGTTGAGTCCCGGTGGCTGCCCGATCCAGCGGATCACCCCATAGAAAGGTGGGTTCTCTTTCACTTCCGCCAATGAGCCCACCTCCAGACCGTGGGCGCTCCCCGGAGATGCGGACACAGGCGTGCTGTCCTGGACGGGGGCGCTGTTCAGCTCGCCCATCACAGACTGCACGGACAGAGAGAGCGGGCTGTGCCCAATGCTCCCGTTGGTGTTGGGCATCTTTGTCAAGCTGAATGGCAAAGAGTGGAATCTGTTCTCGCTGGATAGTGAGTTCATGGAGGGAGGCTGCAGCGGTGGCGAGTCTCGTCCCAACTCTGGAGACAGCTCTGTAAGCGACTTTGCAGAATCTTCGGCAACTATAAAGAGTTACTCTTAATTAGAGAAATGTATTCAATAATGTTAAATATGCCCTACAGCCCTACAAATTAATGTGCACATCTGGTCCACTGCCCACTTGACCTCTCAGTGGGTCTCTCGCAGGCACCACAGAATAGATACCCCCTGACCAGTGCTCTTCACTCTCCACCTACCTCCACCTTCTCCACCCAACTGTCCAAACCGAAGAAACCTAGTATTGATTAGTACTGCAGAGGTTCTATGTTTTGTCCATAATACAGTGAAGTTAGAAACCACCACAAAAGATACCAAAAAATTTCTTAAAGATGCTGCTAAATAGCAAATGGATCAAAGAAAAAATGATGACGTAAATTTTTAAAATAAAGGAGGGGAAAAAAAGAGAAAAACAAGCCTATGTGGAACATGGCTAAAGTAAGACCTCTAAAGGAAATGTATAGATTTAATAGTTTATTTTAGAAAAAGAAAAAGAGATTAGTGAATTCAGCATACAACCTAAGAAGTCAGAGGCCCTGGCTGGACAGCTCAGTTGGTTAGAGCATCGTCCTGATAACCAAGGTTGTCGGTTTAATCCCCCGTCAGGGCGCATACGAGCAGCAACCAATGATGCGTAAATAAGTGGAACAGCAAATCCATGTTTCCCTCTCCCTCTCTCTCTCTCTCTCTCATCAACCAATAAATAAAAACAATTCTTAAAATGTTAGAAAAACAAAAAAGTAGGCAAGAGGAAAGAATAAAGACAAAACCAGAAATTCATGAAAACAAACATACGATAAAGAGACCCCAAGGCCGAAAGCTGTTTCCCTGAAATGACTCATACGGTTGCCAGGCAGGCACTGTGACAGTGGGGAAAGAAAGAGCTTAATAAACAGTGCGGAGACAATCAGGTATCCACACTCTACACAAAAATCATTTCAAGTGGCTTAAAAACAAATGTGAAAGGCAAAACTATAAATTTTCAGAAGACAGCACAGAAGAGTGTTCTTTAGACTTCAGTAAAGGAAGAACTTCTTAAACATGAGTCTACAAACAGTAAAGGAAAAGCCTGAAGAACACAGCCATGCGAAAACTAAGAGCTACGTGTTCATTAAAAGGCATCACAGTACGAGTGAAAAGATGAGCCACGAACAAGAAGAAATTACTTCAATCCTGTGCCCAACAAAGGATTAGAATTTGAGAAAGGTCTACAAATCAGAAAGAAGACGACAAAAAACACTAGACTTGAAAAGGCAACTCACAAAAGAAGAAACCTAAACCACCAACAAATCGATGAAAAGATTCTTGCCCTCACTAGCAAACAGATGAAAGAAGGTCTAAGCTGACATTTAAAAAGTCAGAGGTCTCAGAACAGAACCACTGGTGAGGGTGAGGAACGAGCAATTGCCTTGCACGATGCCGACGGGCATGCGAGCTGGTGGGGCCACTCTGGGCAATCGGTACAGAAAAGGGGTACACCTCCCATGACCAGTGGCTCCACTCGCAGTTACAGACCCCAGGCACGTATAAGAATGTCGATTTCAAGCTGGTTATAATTCAAATGTCTATTGATGGCTGAATGGGTAATTTACATTGTGGTATATTCATATATTGCACAGCAATGGAAGGCTACACAGCAATGAAAAATCATGATCATGCACCAGAACTCGGAGGAATCTGAGAATCATAATGTTGAGGACGGAAATCACACAACACACATACAGTCCAATTCCTTGTATACAAAGCTCAAAATATGCAGAACTGGGAGTATGCTGTCTACATGTACAAACTTAAAAAGCTCTAATAAAAAACAAGAGAATGGTAACATTAAAGATGATGGAAGCTCAGAGGAGAGAGTGAAGAGAATGGCACCTCCCAGCCATTAAGTTCCTCGAGGCTCAGCCTTCACCCACACCTTCCACCCCCACTCTCTCCTCAGGTCATACTCTTCATGGGACTGTAATCACCACATATATGAAGGCAACCTACAGACTCATTTATCTAGCTCTTCCCTCTCTTCTAAGCTCCAGATCTGTATCTCCAACTGCCTACGTGACAAATCACCTCTAGGAAATCTAAAAGCCCCTCAAATTCAATGTATTCAAAAGCAATCCTTCGCCTTTCTCCGCAATCATCTCAGCACACAAGCTGAAAAACACAGAGTCAGCATCGACATCTCTCTTCCTCAGCTCTCACTTTCAGTCTCTCCATGAGACCTGTCAGTTCACTCCCACCTATCTCATAGCCATCCACCTTCCCCATCTCTTCCCCAAATGCCTAGTTCCAGCTTTTTTCATTCAGGACCAAGTCCAAACAGCCGTCATGGGTGCCCTTGCCTACACACACTCCCTGCTCCAACCCACTGCCCACCCTGCAGCAAGAATTATCCTTTCCAAAGGGAAACTTGGTCAGGTCACACCTTGCTGAAAATCCCTCAGTGGCTTCCCATTTCCTTTTAATAGGGCCACCAGGCTCCAAGAGCCCTGGCCCGGTTTTCCTTTCTCATAAAATGTTATGCCCCTCTCTCTGTTCTAGCCACTCTGACTCTCTTTAGTCCTTGAGAACACCAGGCTCCGTTTTCCCACGAGGCCTTCACATATGCTCTTCCCTCTGCCTAAATGGTCCTTCTGTCCCCTCCCACTTTATCTACCACACTCCTCTGGTAAATCCAAGCTCGTCACTTCCTCAGAGAAACATCCCTGAGGCCCCAAGCAAAACCATGCTTATACCTCACAACACCACACACCCTCCTGTCCTCGTTGCCATAGCAATTCTACATGTTTCTGTGATCATCTGATCAATGTCTATTTTCACAGCTTGATCGTAAACACAGAAAGGGTAAGGGCCACGTCTATTTTTCTCACATGTAACCTCGATGCCTAGAAGAATGTCTGGCACATAGTATGTACCCAAAAAATATGTGTTGAACAGACAAAGAAAGAAAAGAATAAACCAGAAGAACATGATGTCCCAGAACCAAGGAAGCTTTCTTCACAGAAAGTGTTTTAAAGAGAAAAAGACCCAGACAGAAAGTTCTTCAAATGATTCATTGATTCTAGAGATCTTCTGCACTCAACAGATCAGCTAGGCAGAGAACAGCTGCTAAGAGTTTCTAAATGTCTCCTTCCCCTCATCAGTGCAGTTCAAACTGTGTGCAATGTTTCAGTTCAGCGATCCTGCTCCCCCACTACATATACTGGGGAAGCCCCCTTTTCTCTGAGGCATCAGCTGTAGGTTACCTTCATCACTGTACCATGTGCTTTTCGATTTGGGCTGCGGTTGTGAGTCAACAGAAGACCCATTTAGGGTATAAAATAATTCAGATCTGTTTCTACTTCCAGGGTCTGAGGTAGATCCTATGGAACAAGAAAAGTTCCTTTTAAAGATAAAGTCACCATGGTTTGAAAGTTTTTCCATACAGAAATTAATATGCCTATGATGTTAACAACTATTTACACAACCAATCAACACCCAAGCACACTGTGTTTTATCAGTGCCTTCAGCTTTTGAAACTCTGGCAACCATTTCGCAATGCCAAAAAGATTCTTCCAGCCAAGACTCAAATTGGGGGGGGAGGGTGTAAAGAGGTATGTTTAAAGAAAACCATGTTTCTTTTAAACAAACTTTTATTTTTTTAAAAAATTAATCATTTCACGTACTACGGTTTATTTCCAAATGTCAAAATCACCATTCCCCAACTTCATTTGATGAACCTGTGGGTTCACAAATTTAACCTATTATTTTGGAAGAGATGCTCTCAGAAGGAGGTAACCTTCAAATGTTGAACAAATTCAGTTTTAAGAATTTAAGTTTTAAACATTTTGGAACTGTTCATCATCGAAGTCGTTGCTTAACCTCTTCATGTCCTTGAGAAAGTGAAGCAGTAACATTTCTTACATCTTAGATTCATTAAATGTGAGAAAGACACTGATATCACCTGCCTCAGTAGTAAGAGGACATGCTGTAGAATTGAGCCATGAGGTCTCCAGAACCCAGACAAACCCTGTTTTTTCTTTCATTTAAAACAGACAGCTCTATACTTTACACCTACAACTAAGACCTGCTATAGCAAAAGTAAGTCGTCTTAAGAAAATGTTTAGGATACTTATATTTAAGTGAGAGTAGCATGTTTGAGCGACCCAGTCTAGATCTATAGGTCAGGATAAAGAATACTATGACCTATATATTTTATTTAATTCTAAGTCTCCCAGGATTTAATGTCACATAAAGTATTTCTAAAGTACAACCTCCCTTCAAACAAACCAAAATAGTTTTGTTCACTAGGTGACTGAGGAAAAAATATTCTTCTCCTCGCCCACATCTGTGTTAACGAAAATTCTCACAGCTTTTAAATGGGCTGCTCAGCTTATATAACTACAATCCTATAAATCTCTGAAATGTGTGGCAGCTAACAAAAAAGAGCTAAGAACTCATATCTATTTTGGGGAAGTTTCTAGAAGAGATAAAAATTTTTGCTTAGCAGTTTGGGATTTAATTTGTGCCACATCTAGTTAATGAAACCCACATAATTAATCTCTAGTATATCTTACCTTATATAAGTACTCTCTAGTATACTTTACCCTATATAAGTAATCTCTAATATATTTGATCCTATAGAACATTATCCAAATACAGGGTGGGCAAAAGTAGGTTTACATATGGAAACTAATACAAAAATTAATATAATACAAGAATAAGCTCTGTTTCACATACTCACAACTGTAAAGCTACTTTTACCCCACCCTGTATGATTAGTCTCTACAGCTACAACTCTAAACAACAAATGTCACAAGCAGGGGATTCCAGAAACCAGTTGTTATGGACCAGCAAGACACAGGTCCTCACCAGAAACATTTCATCAGCCAAAAAGGGTTGGGAACTCTTGGCCTGATCAACACCATCCATAAAAAATTTCTAGTAAACTACTAAAAGTATTTGAAGGAAGAAAATCTATATGAACTTTAGGGTAGAACACCTTACCCTTTGTTCAATGCTGTGGAAAAGCAGCGATCATGCTACAAATGAACTGCACTCTACTCATCCATACCTGTAACCTTTGGTTTACTGTGACTGGATAAGCCTTTGTCCCCAACACCTCTCGACGCAAAGGCAAGTTTGGGAGGCCTCCTCTCCTGTGTCACGCTATCTGAAACAGTAAATATGGTCTTTAAATGTAAAAGCAAATTCTTATAGAAGAAAAACAATAGTGCAAATAATGACAATAACAATAAAAATCTCTTTCCAACAAAAAAGCAGTATTTTCACAATAGTTTTAAAAATTCTTAAAGGCCATCAAAAGTATCAAAATCAATGCTGTATTTCAGAATGGAATTTCTATGTGATAATATACCCCAAATATAATACAGCTGAATGCTTTAACTTCTTGAAAATATAAATCACCTTTAGTCAATTTTATTTGATGTGTTAAAACACTACCAAGAAAACTTTACTCAGTTTTTTGCAGGATTTCCCAAATCTGTATCCTCAAACGCCTCTGTGTGTCTGAAGTGTTCCACACTCAAATATTTCTGGAAGATGCTGAGATAAACAAAGATGAACAGACTTCTTTATTGTATAACACCAGAACCCTTACTACACTAATGTGCACTGTGAATCTCTCAAAGAGGGATACAGTAACTTACCTGATAACATTTTTGTACCAGTCTACTTAGCATCTCAGATTAATGTAACTTGTGGAACACAGTTTGGAAAAAGTGTGGTTAAAAATATGTATCAGTTTTTAAAAACATATATATGTTAATGACACAAATGTATATGCAAACATATACATATAAATAGAAAAACCACAAAGAACTAAACATTGGTTAATGATGCAGAGACAGAGAAAATATCAGTAATATTTCTGAAGAAAATACTCAACACTTCTTTTTGAAGTATAGGTATAACAAACACAGTAAAGACTACTCTAAACCCGTACAGGCCCGTAGCTTTCCTGGATAGTCAAGGCAGTGATGAAGCAAATGTAGAAAAGTCAGTCTGGGAAGTTTTTCCCCTGAAGTTCAATAACACACCTGTGGAGTCCAACATGGCACTTAGGAGCCATCCCTGAGAAAGCTGTGTATCAGCAAAGCAGTATCCCCCACAGGGGATTTTTGAGAACAGAAAGAAGAAAATAAAAAAATTTTACATTTTAAGTACAAAGAAAAGGCCTAATTTTTATTTTATTTTTTAGAAAAAAGGAAATAATACTAAATTATATATATAACAAAGCTTGGTAACTTTTTTCCATTGTTGAGGGGGAGGAGAATGCATTGTTAAACTATCTTAAATGTCTCAGAATATGATTAAACAAGATATTTTAATTTGAAAATTATACTAAGTAACCATGATTTTAACCAAGTGGTATAGTAAAAGAAAAGCTATTTACTAATACCTTTATGATGCTACCATTCAAATATCTCCAAATATCACATATGAGAGCTAGTGTGGAGGGTAAAACTTCTTAGTCACTGGAAAAAGTTCCCAAATTATAGCATAGAAATTGACTACAGAAAACTAATTCCCACTATTAACTGCATGTAAGTCTATTCAAAAAAGATATTCCTGCATATACCATAACCTACATACATCACAAAGTTAGTGGTTATTATAACTAGGGCAGCCTGGCAGTGCCGGAGGGTCAAATGGGTGGGCCTGGGTGACAGCTCTGCTGGTGATGTGAGGGGAGGGCTCCAAAGGGTAGGAATGTGGAGGGCACTGGAGCTGGAAACAGTGGTTATCTTCTGCCAAAGACTACCTGAGAGGGGGTCAAATATCAATTTTGAAGAATAGAACATTCCTATAGAATTCTCTGCAGAGAAAAATATTCTCAGATGAAGGAAAACTAAGATACTCTGTCACCTGCAGACCTATCCTAAAAGAATGGATAAAGGAAGTTCTCTAAAGAAAATAGAAATAATAAAAAAATGAATCTTGGGAAATTAGAAAGGAAGAAAGAACAACAGAAAGAGAAAAATATGATTAAATACAGTAGACTTTCCTTCTTCCATCAAGTTTCTAAACTATGCTTACAGTTGGAGTACAAATTATAACACTGGTATGGTTCTAAATGTATGTCAAGGAAATATCTGAGACAACAATATCTTAAATGGAAAAGAGTGGAGATAAGACTCCTACACTTTACTCAAACTAGTAAAATCATGTCACCAGTAAACTCTGATTAGGTAGGTATACATAATGTAATATCTACTGTAATTATTTGAAAGCTATATAAAGATACAGATTTAGAGACACAACAGATAAATCAGAATGAAATTCTAAATAATGTTCAAGTAACCTAGAGGAAGGCAGGAAAAAAACCAGAAAAATTTAAGAGAGAAAACAAACAATACAAAATGTTAGGCTTGCCCTGGTCAGTTCTGCTCAGTGGTTTGAGTGCCGGCCTGTGGACTGAAGGGTCCCAGGTTCTATTCCTGCCAAGGGCATGTACCTCAGTTGCAGGCTCAATCCCTGGGCCCTGGTTGGGGCTCTCACAGGAGGCAATCAATCGATGTGTCATTCTCACATCGATGTTTCTCTCTCTCTCTCTGCTTCTCTCCCTTCTACTCTCTCTGAAAATCTGAAAAGCAATAGAAAAAATATCCTTGGGTGAAGATTAAAAAAACAACAACACTGTCAGACATAAGTCCTAATACGCCAATAGTTACATTAAATATAAATAGTGTAAATTGAACAATTAAAAGACAGAGATTGGCAGAGTAGATTTATTAACATGACCCAACTATCTTTTGTCTATAAGGAACTCACTTCAAAGATAATAACATAGCATGTTCAAAATAAAAGGTTGGAAATAACATGTCATATAAATATTAATACAAAAATAACAGTAGTGGATATATTAATATATTATAAAGTAGACTTCAGAGCAAAGAAAATTACTAGATACAGATAGGACATTATATAATGAAAAAAGGGACATTCCACCAAGACATAACAATCTGAAATGTATATACACCAAACAAAAGTTCCAAAATATGTGAAGCAAAAACTGAAAAGAAATGAAAGAAAAAAATAGACTAATACTACAATTATAGTTGAAGACTTCAACATCACTCTCTTAACAACTGATAGAACAAGTAGACAAAAATTAGCAAGCAAGTCCAGTCCAATAAACTGTTAATTGTGGAATCGAGGTGGTAAGAATAGGAATGTTCACTATAAAATTCTTTCAACTTTTCTGTATGTTTGAAAATTTCATAATAAAATGTTGAAAAAATATTTTACTAGAACTTCAAAATAGAAAACTCACAAGTGAATAAATAACAGAAAAATGGTCAAAGACACATAGGTACTTAACAGAAGACACAAATGTATCATCAACACACGAAAAGTTATTCAGCCCTACTTGTAACTGGGGAGCTCAAATTAAAACTACCTTGAGGTACCGTTTCTCAGGCATCAGACTGGCAAAAATTCTATTCAGTACCAAGTGTTGAAGAGGGTGCAGAAATAACCCAAAACCAAGCACCCACCCACACTAGAGGGTGATTAAACGGTGGGATGCCCGCAGGATGGGATACCATGAGGCAGTGAGGGTGAATGACTATCAATACCCTCGTCTACAGGAGGGGATCTCAAAATACATATTAAGTAAATGGTGCAAGTAGTTAAAGAACATGGTTGCTATGGCTGTATTTATATTGTTTAAAAACAGGCTAAACTAAACAATATATTACATGCCACTCCAATCCAAGCCACCACCATCTCTCGCACGGGTCTCTGCAGGTCTCCCTGGTCGCCCTGTCTGCCCTCTAACGCACACCAGTGATCATGCTAAACGTCGGTTAGGCTACAACGTCCTTTGCTGAAAACCCTGCCCCAGCTCCCCACCTCCCTCAGAGCAAATGCCAAGAATTCATCCCCATACCAGCCCACCTGGCCCTGCCTGCTCCAGCTCCCACCGCCTCCCTACCACTCCCCCTTCAACCTGCTTCAGCCACAGTGAACCTGTAATTACTCAAACTGGCTGCGCTCGCTGCAGCCTCAGGCCCTCCCTCTGAACCCCGAGGCTCACTCTCCTTCAAGGCAAGAACTCCAAAGTCTCTGCAGTAGAGGACGCCCTGGACAATCCTATATAAACAAAGTAGAACCACCCCTCCCCCAGGCCAGCACTGCCTTCCCCTTCACCATTCTCCACCCAGTCACCATGAGTTCTCCTCACTACCCCTGTCCTCACTAAAATGAAAGCTCCCTGTGGGAAGGGTTTTTGTCTTGCTTCCTACTATAGCCTCAGCTGAAACTGTAGTAAGCCTGAGTAAGGGCTTACTGCATTTGAATGAATAAATGACCTTTTACAAAAAAACTGCCTTCTAAACATAAGTATTTATTACAACATTAAAAACTATTTTGATTTATCAGATCATAAATTATGTTCTTCTCATAAAAAGGCTTGAAAAGGTCAATTAAATATTCCTAAATAAAGTATGAACTTATGGACCCTCCGGCGCGGCTCAGTGGTAGAGCGTCAATCTATGAACCAGGTCACAGTCCAATTCCAGGTCAGGGCACACGCCTGGGTTGCAGGCTCAATCCTCAATAGGGGGTGTGCAGGAAGCAGCCAATCAATGACTCTTATCATTGATCTTTCTACCTCTCCCTCTCCCTTCCTCTCTCTGAAATCAATAAAAACATATTTTTAAAATATACATGAACATATGTATGCTTTCCCCTGAATGCAAACCATGTTTCCAAAGAGAAGCAAAGAAATAGCTAGAAATTCAATTGGCAAGAAAGTAAAAATTAATTTTCAAGAAATCAAGAAAATCAAAATATGTCGGACTTTTACAAAGTAAAACTGAAATGCAGCTATCATTTGAACGCCTCCACCTAAGTTAATGTGCTCTTGCTGTAAAGCTAAAATCTGAAGTAGAAAGCATTTCCTCACACAGAAAAACAAGCATTTATTACTTGCCAAGCCAAGAGGAAGAAGGTAGGAAAAACCATGCAGGTTAGAAGAAATCTCAAGGATCATCTAATATTGGCCATTTCATGTTTATAAAAAAAAGAAACTGAGGACCCGAGAGGACCAGGGGGGACCTCGAAGTGTTCTGTGTCAAGATTAGCAATAATGGAAAAACACTGATGCAAACAAACCATTTTGTTCAGCTGTCATCCTTGTTCCAGTAAAATTTAGCTTTCATAGAATTAGAGACAAAATACATCTCCATGGAAACAATATTCTCAAGCATACAAGTGAGGCTGAGAAGTATGTTTTTCTATGCAGGTCTTCATAGCCTAGTGTACACACAAGACTGGGGTAAGGTTGTTTTAAACAGAGCTTTAGGATCTGACAGGTCTGGACTTGACCCTAGCCAATAGTGGGTGGCACTATCTGGCCTGACCTAAGCCCCAGTGTTTTATCAGCAAAATGGGGATAATTCAGAACATAAAAAAGTCTAAGTAATCTAATTCAGGGGTTCGTACATTTGTGGCTACTGCACACAGGCTCTCTGGCACTTTATTCTGATCTGCATAAAGCTCAGTAAGAATCACCAGGCTGCTGGCCTCTGCTAGTTTATGATTAACACACGATCAGGCTGACTGGCTTATAAGTGGATTCTCCTCAGAGTAGGGGAGGTGCTGCTGGAGCAGCTATCAATAGGAATTTAGCAATTAGTTGACAGCAACCATCAGGTACGACTTGTCTGAGGTAAAATAAAAGACTGCTTAAGGTTTTTTTAAGATGTAAAGTTGAGTGACCTGTTTCTGGCTACAGAGGCAGGAAACCCGATCAATCACACGGTCTCAAAGCTGACAGAGACCTCACGGGGCATCCTGCCTCTCCACTGTGCATCAGATTATATACTAAATGACCAACTTCTGCTTCAAGCTTCTAGTTTAAACCAGGCTCACCCTTAAACAGGTAGCACTTTATTACATTTTCTGACCCCTCCAATTATCAGAAGGGCTTTTTCCCCCCTCTTGTAATGGACAGGTGATAAAAAAGTGAGTGACAATATATAAATGCCACCCCACACTCATATACCCTGGAAATAAAAATCTGTAAGTACTGCTCTCATTTGGGGTAAGAGAGGATGGTCTATTGAAAAACAATTCCAAGTTTCACAAAGGTCAAGTTCTAAACATGCACCTGGAAGCTTATATTTGCAGCCTCATAACAAAATACACCTTTCAAACTCTGCCTAATTAATATATAAAACAAAGAAAATATACCTGGGATGATGTCATTGATGTGCAAGAGAACTGTGCTTTCGACACTTGCAAAACTGCAGAGCTGAACGCCATCTAACCTGCCGTCCCAGTTGCCAATCGGATTATCCTGGAAGTGAAGTGACAGCCAACTTTAAAGCCCTCCTCAATAAATGCCAACATAAAGTCTGCATTTTCCATAACAAGATTCCCCCAGGTTTACACTGTAATTTTAAACTTTTTGGGGGGCCAGACAACTTCCCTGAGCGCCAATGTGTACAACGCACTAAATGTCACTGGAAATAGAAGGAACTGAAGAATATCACCTTTGCCAGAACTTGCCATTCCAGGAATGGCCTTTGCTAGAGGGGTTTGGAATGAATGCTAGCACAAGCCAGCTGAGGACAGGCAGTTGGGGGAGGGGGACCTCTAGGCACCTGCCCCAAGTGAACAAGGTGATGCCTAGAATGTCACCTAAGGAGGGCAAGGCCTACCTGCCTTTTGCCAAGTTTGAGGCCCAAACAACATGAAGCAAGCAGACTAACCCCAATGATCAGGGCCCTCTTTCTCCAATCTTCCCTCCCTCCAGCCCACAGTCTCTCCTCTAAATTAATACTGAATATTTAAAGAATATTGGTTTGAAGGTGTGCTTAACTGTTAGCTCTCCTGAGGGGCCCACAGGTTGGGCTCTGCCTCTACCTTTGCACGTTAAATATCCAGTAGATGTTTGTTTAAACAACATTATTAGGTTTGTCTAACTAATGGGATCAAGTAGAATTTCCTAGAATTTCCAAGCCCAGGATAAGAGAACTTTATGCTGAGAACTAAAAGCATCCCTGAATATACAGATAAAAATAATCACTACAAACATCATGAGCACAAGAGTCTATTTCTCACATCCTCTCCTAACTCATGCTCGTGTTTAATAATTCAGTATGAATTTCCTTCTTTATACCTAACGAGTTACATCCATTTTTTTCAATCTATGATACAAATGTTCTCAGTTCTTTCTTCTCCTTCTCTAAATCCCACAGGGCTCATTCAACCTGGACTGGGATGTACCCAGTACTAACAAATAAGATTGTGAGGAAACATTTAAAATGAATGAAGCAGCCTGGCGGGCGTGGCTCAGCAGCTGAGTACATAGCCCTAGGATCCAGGAGCTCGAGGTTCGATTCTTGGTCAGGGCACATGCCCGGGAGGTGGTCTCGTGCCTGGGTTGCGGGCACATGCCCAGTGGGGGGCGTGCAGGAGGCAGCCAATCAATGACTCTCTCTCATCATTGATGTTTCTACCTCTCTCCCCCCCTCTCATCTTCCTCTCTGAAATCAATAAAGACATTTAAAAAATGAATGAAACAAAGAAACAAATTCTGGATTCTGCTTCCATGCAGTGCCTAGAATCGGCACATTCACAGAGACGGAAAGTAGGGTAGAGGTTAAGAAGGGACCGTTAGCTGAGGGGAGTATGTGGGGAGTTGCTGTTCAGTGGGGACAGTTTCAGTTTGGGAGAAAGTCCTGGAGATGGGCGGGGTGCTGGTGGCACAGCAATGTGAATGTCCTTACTGCCACTGACCTATACACATAAAATGGTTAGGATGGTAAATTTTATGTCATGTATATTTTACCATGATAAAAAATTTCTTTGAATGAGTTACATCCTAAGAAAATACTTGTCTCTTCCTCTAGCCTAGAGCAATGTGCTTTTCCTCTATTCAGGTATTTTCCATAAGTGAATTTTACACTACTCATTAAAATCAGATCAGCCAATAAAATGTTACAAAACATTACAAAAGAGAAACACAGATTCCCCTCCCCCAACAAAACCTTTCAAAATAAAGAAAAACACGGTATTATTTAATATATTTTGGTGTTCACTTCTGTTGGTCAGCTATCATACAGCAAATTTAAAGACAAAAAACATTATTTCAGTTTATTCAAACTGAAAAAGAGTAAATGTTATTTTCTAGACCCCTGTCCCATATCAGTGCTCCTTTACCAGAGATCAATTAGAACACGTTCTTGCCCGAGGGGCATGGCTCAGCGGCTGAGCATCGACATAGGTTCCAGGAGATCGGGGTTCAATTCCCAGTCAGGGCACATGCCCGGGTTGCGGGCTCGATCCCCAGTCGGGGGCGTGCAGGAGGCAGCCAGTCAATGACTCTCTCATCATGGATGTTTCGCTCTCTCTCCCTCTCCCTTCCTCTCTGAAATCAATTAAGACATATTTTTAAAAAAACAAAAAATAAACATGTTCTTTAAATTACTCCAAATTAGCCCATCTGAAAATTCAGTGTTTAACTGGTGCCTAAATTAGTCACAGAACTACCAGATATATTCACAAAGACAGTATAATCCAAGAGCTTCTTACCATGTCCACACCAACAAAATATCCTAAGCTTTCTTTTCCTGGCAAAAGGTCACAGAATATAACCGTTCCAGATTCTATAGTTTCTCCGAGCTTCAGAGAAACTCTAGAGTTTATTTCCAGCGGGGGCAGTTCGACCTGCACTGTGTCCCCTGGACCTGCATAGTCACTTTGCAGTCCATTGTCATCCTCCTCTATTAGCTCCAGCTTGTCCAGCGCAACAAATACTCCACAGTCTTCATCACACCGGAAAAGCTGCTTCCCTTGATAGACCCCATCAGTGAAGCCTTGGCAACGACCTTCTTCCTGGTTTTAAAAAAGGGGGAAAAAGATTGATAGATAGACAGAGATATATAGACAGACAGATAGATAGAGGCAACCCATTAGAAAAAAAATGTCCACTCTAGGATTTCAGGGAAATCACTGAAAGAATTCTAAGTGACACATATAAGAAATAGAATTATTAGCAGTTGCTATTGAATTTAGGTTGTTTTGAAAAAAATAAGGAAAAAGCTGTATTTGATGCTGAAATAAAATTATTGGATGATTTCAAATTGTAATTCCACTGTGAGAGAGCAGGGCTGGATTCTACCTTGTCATTTGAACAATAATTTTGTCATAGAAAGAAAATTTGACTTTAAAATAACGGTAATGTGAGCTCCATTTATGGAGAACGTACCATGTGCCAACCACCATGCTAAATCCTAAACCACTGTATCACAAAAAACCTGCAAGTTGTGTACTAGTATCACTATTTTATAGGTGAGGAAGCCAATTTAGAGAAGTAGCTTGGTTAAGTAACCTGGTAAGTTAACCAGGTTAAGTGGCATAGCTAGGATTCAAATAATGCCACAAGACACTAATAGTTTTGTGATGTGATTAGTGTACAATTAGTAGAGTTCCTTTTTGACACAATGTTAAAATTTCTAAGATTTGCAAGTCTCCAATAATTGCATGATCTGTCTGTATTTCCTACTCTTGGAGGTAGTTTTTCAAGCTTCCAATGTATCAGTTGTGGCATCATCTCAATTTATCACCAGAAAGTAAATTCTCAGGATTATAAATAGTAAAAATTCCAGAAAATTTCTGAGAAAACAATTGGTATTTAAAGGGGGAAAAATACATGCATACATAGGAATACTCGCAAACACAGGCACACACACACAGCCCACAAAAAAGGTCTACCACACTTACCAGTAATTCTACTCCGAAGAATATTCCCGACACTGTCCTCTCCGCTAGCAGGGGGCCCCTGAAGCGCACAACTCCAGGGAACTTCTCCTCCCCCGGCCTCAGCTGGACCTTCACAGGGCAACCCACGTCTATGTGGAGGCCTTTACTTAGTCTGTTTCTGTTTTTAAACAGGCTTAACCTCTCTTCACCGTTGGTAATTGCCAAAAGTAGCTCTGTGAATTTTTCATTTATTTCCACCACATCCTTTTCATCAACAAGGAGAACTGCATGTGGCTGCTCTAGGATTTTTAATCCAATCTGACTTTTCTTGCCCTTGGCGGAAGGGACCCTCGAATGCCCCACAGCGCGGTCCTGGACATACTGCCCTATGCTCCCCTTGGGTACTTTGAGGAGCTTCTGCGTTTGTTTGTCTGGAACACTGTACTCCTGGAGAAGCAAGTAAAACATCCGCTCTTCCCAGTAGGGTGAAGTAACCTTCTCTTGGTTCCATAAGCCTGAACTCATTGTGACATTAACTCCAAAATATTAACTGAAAAAAAAGGGAACTACGACGTTTGTGGTAAACCCCCAAAATATAAATTCACTTGCAGTCCCAAAGCATGTTTTCAGCAATCTGGTGTCCATGCTGTAAAACGACAGGAATCAAAATGCCTGAGGAGAAGCAGAAAGAAACTCTTAAGTCTACATGCACTGAAATTAAGGTTAAAGACTTTAAAATCTCGCTCAACTAGTAAAAACACACACACATAAAATACTTCCAAAAATATCTAAAAAGGTTAAAAGACATATATTACTTGTATCTACTGTAATTTTACATATTTAATTAAGGAGATCCAACTGTAAAGTATCTTCAAAGACAATATAATAATGTTTGTTTCCAAGGCATTAAAGTTTGTAAAATCAAATTCTAAGTAAAAGATAACCTTATATACTTATTCTGACATTTTTAAGCTTTAAAAAGTAGCATTTTTAACAGATCCTACCTAAGTTAAATGGATAAGCTGCTGTACTTGAATGAAAACCACATAAATCAAAAGGCTATTATTTTTGTATGTACACCTAGTTTAAGGAAAAAGTTATCCGTTGTAACTATTATGTTAAACATCTTTTATCAATAAAGTACCATAAAATCACATTCTGAGCCACAATTCATTTATTTATGTGCCATATTTTGATAATGGAACATTTTATTTCTGACTGTTCATTTCCTTAATCGTGTATATTTTGTCCTTAGATAGGCAAATATTAATCATATTAATCACAGCTATCATTTAATTTCTCACACTTGCAATGATCAGAAATGGTAAATCTGATTATATGAAATATATCCGAAAAAATCAATTCTACAGCCATCAAAACTTGGACTACGTAACAATGAAATATAGCCATATAGTATCAAATATAAAAAATGTCTTTATACCACAATTTTTGCTATGCGTACAAGAAAGGAGTACACACAAAAAATGATTTGCAGTTTCAAATTTTCATTTAAAACTGTTCAATATTATTAATCTTTCCCAATTAAAATGTCCTACTCAACCCTACTTTAATGGATGATTAAAAACTATACAATTTCATTAATGCAAATTAAGACTGTAGTCCATTATTTTAATTAATTATCTTACTGAAAACAATAGCTCTTATCTATTCTGTCACATGAATATGGCTATTTGGTTTCTAAGTGTGATATTTATCCCATCCCTCTCTGACAGGTGCCCATTTCCATTACTCCACGTCACAGTGGCAGTTGATAGCACTGTCATATTCACCATTTTGTTCTTAGAATTAAAAAGTAAACACTCCAAAAACTAAAGAACCAAATTTTAAGTTTCATCACTTAATGATAAAGGAGTGTGGCAAATCCATACACAGAATGACATTTCTTTAGGGTGCGCTGTATGATAATCAGGTATTCTCTGGTGATAGGTGTCAGAATGTGACATGGAGATGACCCCAGACAGGGTGAAGAGTCTGCACCCCTAAACCAACAGTGCTGAACTGCCTGCGCCACCCGGGTGAGGGCAGGACACAGCCAGAGCGAGCGTCAGAGGCTTCCCTCCCTCCTTCTCTTTTTGTGTTTTTCTCATTGTGTTTGTCCTAATTCCGCTTGAGGGCACTGTCTACTTCAGCAGGAACAGGACCAATTTATATCTGCCACTTACATAAGACACCTGTGGGCACCCCGATCTTGGCACCACATAAACAAAACCCCTACGAGGGCAACCCAAACAGCCGCCCAAAGCCTAAATTCATCTCTATTCCTTTAAAGTACTCCAATAAAGTGTTTCGTATTTCTGACTAAAATTCTTAAATTTTTCAGCAAGGAAATAGCACCATTTTTTCCTGATCATCAAATCATCCATATGAGCATAAACGATTATCTGTGACTCTCAACGGGGAGCGGTGTTTGTCACTTTGGTAAAGGGCTTTATTTAGACTGCGCCCGAGTTCTTGGTCTGCTGTCTGGATGGACAGACGGCAGCTTTCAGCCATCAGCGATTTTCTGTGGCTTCCTGCAGTGCACCAGGCTCCTTTCACTGCCTTGCTGCTTCCAACTTACTGCTTCTAATCACTTCTGAGAAGCCAGGTGATGAAATATGTTTGTGTGCTTTAAAAACAAACAAATCAATAACAAAAAAGGAGCACAAGTTCTGTACAGGTCTTTTAGGAGAGGTGCACACAGGCTGCATTACACAGACAGGCAACAGTAATACTGCACAGGCGCTGGGTTTCTCCCAGAAGGCCGAGATGGTCAAAAAGCAACTTCTAAAAAAGAGAGTTGTTTTGTTCTCTTTAAAATGTATTGAAATATTTTTGGTCAAAAAAAATTTTTTTAAGTATGGCAATTCTATTTTGAAGAAAAATTTTTTTTTAATTTCTAAAAATCATACCTTCAATTACTAAAATTAAGAACATCATTGAGCCTTAATAATATTATACACCAACAACGCCTATCCTATTAACAATTCATGTCCCCATTTAAAATAAAACCATCAGAGCTAATTAACTATTACCAAGACAAAACTAAATTACTATATAAATGCATTAGGACACTACATTTTAAGTGAATTTGATTAACAAAATGTTTTCTACAAGACAGTCCATGGTAAAACTGGATATAACTGCTTTGGTTTATAAAGGGTTGAGGGCAATTTAACAACTGTTATCAAGAACCATATTTTACAGTGAACTCCACAGGAAGCAGTAACTTTTTTCTAACTTGCACTAGCACCAGTGGGAGTAAGCTTAGACTCAATAACAGCATGGGTCACACTAGAAAATTAGAGCAGCCAAAGCCAAAGTTATAAAATATTTAAAAAGCATTATCCAAAAATAAAAAGGATGTGGTCTTTCTTCCTTTAGAAAGAATACATTAAGAAAGAATAGGTTAGGAACTATCATATTAAAAATTGATTGTCTTCATTGCAACTGATAATTAGAGAAAGCTGAATGGGGAACTTTATAGCTCTAGTGTAGAGATATACAAGATGATACAGTTCATGATCTTTAATATCTCAATATAATGGCATTACAGCAGAAATATACTAACAAAAAGACCTTCTATTTCTTTAGAAAGAATATAATGCCAACATTTTTCTTTCACTGAGACAGGAGAAGAGTAATTAAGTGTTAAGAGATCCAAGCAGTAAAAACTGACTCAAGACTATGTGGGAAAGATTTAAACCACATTATCAATGAGTTCTTTATCACTCAAGAAGTTCTGTCAGTTTGTTTAGTATTTTTATGTACTCAACACAGTGTCAGACACTGAACAGTATAGACTTAGTAAGATATGATGACTGCCTTCATTTGTGTTCTCCTACTACCTTTCAGGTCCAAGTGTTTAAAAATTGCCTCTAATAGTACACTTCACTTTCAGTAGTAATATATCACAAATGATTCATCTAAACACCATCGTACTGCCCAGGCGGGCGTGGCTAAGTGGCTGAGCATCGACCTAGGATCCAGGAGATCGCAGTTTGATTCCCGGTCAGGGCACATGCTGGGGTTGCAGGCTTCATCGCCAGTAAGGGGTGTGCAGGAGGCAGCGATCAATGAGGACTCTCCCATCATTGATGTTTCTCTTTCTCCCTCTCCCTTCCTCTCTCTGAAGTCAATAAAGATATATTTATAAAAAACAAAAATAAATAAATACCATCATACTTATTTCAGGCTGGAAAATTCAGTGATTATGAATATCCTGATAATTACTATAAGTACTCAATGAAGATTACCAAAGAATTGGAATACAAAATGTATTTAACCCTAAAACCATATTGAACAGAAGGTCTTTCTTTTGACAACATTTGAGATGAGAAACAATTGAAGGTCACAAAGATTTGAAACTGTATCTGGTTATCTGAGCTTGTTGATATCTGAATCCTGAGTAAAAGAGAATTTAATTGTATTAAAACAAAGTCATTAAACTAAGATGAGGGATGGAAGACTCAAATATTTATCAGTTTCCTATCAATGCAATAAAAAGATGATCATGGATCTTTATACAAAAATATTAAAGGTCAGAACTACCACATTCTAGAATATAATACATAGTACAACTGAAGAGCATTAGCTACATAAAACTGACAATGGTTAACTTTCCAGAAGATACAGTGTCACTTTGATTCTCAAGTTATTAGGTTATATTAGCTCAAAGAACTTCACTAAAGAAAACAAAGGCAGATCTAATTCAAGAACAGTTTGCATCTCCTGAGATATCCTGACTTGCTCTAAAATCCACAGGAGGCTCTCTAAATCCAAATAAAAATGACAACACTAAAATACTGCCCCTAATATAAATGGCAAAGAGGTAGGAAGGTCAGTGTGAAGACCAAAGAAAGAAGACAATGAGACTTTTTCCAAACCCTTCTGGATAGCTAGAATAATTAGCATTTTAAGAAAGATCATTCTCTCTCATTAAAAAAACAAGTAGTTATATCCTAAACAACTAACAAATAGAAATATGAGATTTGATGATGAGATAAGAGACAGCTTTCATTTTCCTCATGGCTTAACTTGTGACCCAAGCAGGCAAGTGTTCAGCCCCTAAAACGAGTGGGATTTATAAGGTTAAATATATAGCCTGGCTCCACACCTGCATATTCATGGCACAAAAACAAGGACTTCTGCTGTCTCAGAGTGAACGTGGCCACAACACTTCCAGACTGAACTCCCCGGGTCCGTCATCTTTATAGTTCTGATCCCCAAACCGGTGCAACATGAATGAAAATGACTTGGTTAACTCAAATGATAACAGGTGAAAGCGAAAATTCCATTTCCTCATTTTAACTGTTTAAGTGATTAAAAGCTTTTTCCAGGATAAAAGAAAAAGACTCGGGAGTTGGGAGTATTTCAATGATTTTTACCTAATTCTCCGGAAAATAATTCATAATGAAGTCATGCTCAATGTTTACACCTCTTGTTACTTATATAAAAAAGAAATAAGAAGCATTTCACAGTCTCGAAAACAACTTGTTTGAGGCTCATCTGAAACCGGCTTCCTAGATTCTCACATCCTGCCTAACACCTACAACTTCTGCATAACTATTGAAAAGACCTCAACAAATTTAAAACCACAGTGTGACAATCAGGAACAAAATACTCATACTTTGATGACTAGGATAATTACTCCTTTCTCTCATCTTATAACAAGGACTTTCTCTAACCAAACAAAATCACATCCAGGCGTGGCACACCACAGGCAATCCGCGCTGCTGAGGGTTTGATGTTTTATATAACCAGGGCCCTGGTCTTACCAGCTCTTCAAGAAAGTCACCGTCCAGAGGAAAGCTTCTTCGAAAAAACACTAAAAATCTGTAGCTGAACATTATAGAGAACGGTCTGGGTGTTATCAGCATCCACGGTACATGAACTTCCACAGGAGTTTCCAGCAAATCATTTTCTCCTAATACTGTTCTAGCTCAAATCCACCCACTGCCCAGAGGGGGGAACTGGCAGCTACATCCTCAGTGCAATTCAGTCTATTTGGGACTTGAAGGGGCTGCAGAAAACCAAAACTTGAATGAACGGCCTCTCTCTAGGCCTGGATTTTGCTCCTGGAGCCAAAGGCTGCAAAAGGGACAATCTTATTAGGATCCCTATTGGCCCGAATTCAAAAGCAAGGTAGGGAACGCTCTGGAGCCAAGGGTACAACTTCCAGGGAGGGGGAGGGGA